TTCTCACCCTCACGGCCTACTAAAGTTACCCAATTCGAAGAAAAAGATCGCGGGTTATAAGCTTGCGTTGAGGATAAACAATGATAGTGGGTAACACATTTATTCGATTATACCAATTTTCGAGATAAATTTATAAATTAATGGCTACTTAATACGTTTTATTTGCTTGATAGCTTACATAGGTTTTATAGATATAACTTGAAAAATAAATCTGTCAATCTGTATTCCTATCCGCTACTGCAGGAGAAGAGAACGCTTCGAATATGCCAATTCGGTAGCGTTAAGCATTATTTAGAAGCAAAAATTATCACACGCTATCAGGTTACGTACATCCTCCTCAATCGTATACGTAGGAGATATAGGCCATCAAATATTACAGGGGTGACAGGATACTCGTCAGAAGAAGCATAGTAATCGTTGACCCGGGCATCACGCTAAAGCTCCGCTATATCTTCGGACGGCTTCTGGATGCTCCCAATAACATTTTCTGGGTTAAAAGGCCGAGGTATACTCTTTAACTGTCCTGAAAGAATATTTTAACGTGTAAAGCTTCATTACGAGCACGGCTATAGAATAATTAAAAGTCGTTTTCTAATACTACCAGCACATCCACGATTCAACGATTCCACCTAGTCAATATTCGGTTTTCAATAATAAGAACATAACACACCAACGTCACATATTCGGAGCCTATTAGAGGAATTATACGATAACGATAGCAGCCGATAGGAAAATCTCTTATTTTTCAAACAGAAATCTAATATCTCCATCGATTCATAATTACAAAATCCATCACTATAATAAGGCGTGGCTTGCTGCCGGCCTAAGCTATAGTCTACGGGTCAAACACGTATTTGATCCAATAGAAACTAATTGTACTATCAGTATAGCCAGATTTTGAGCAACTAAATTACCAGCCTAGAATCGGATAAATACTTTATACGCTACGATAGATAGTAGCGGGCCAGATAGATAATCACCGGGAATAGGATTCGGCCATCGGCTACAACACATTGAATGGAAATAATTACTTTCCGCTTCACTCTTACCCCTCTAGACCCACTACAGTCTTTACAAACCAAGACTTTTTTAGAATTCGGGCCACTTAGCATAACTACTGTCTCATCTCTCATCGATATTATCCACGTTAGCTAGGTCGATAGCGGGATAATAGAGTTTCGATCCTATTATAGACAACTATTCTTCAACTTTGCTGTGAATATTATAGTCGTATCGCTTCTAGTCGATAAGTTTAGATCTCCGATATTGAGAAATATACTCTTGCTTTCCTTCCCTATCTAGAGGAGTTATAGCTTTCTGTTCTCCGCCGCAGAGCACTTTACTGCAAGGAATAGTCTTTTCTGCGCCTGGAGAGCAACTTTCCAGATTAAAGCTCGTACCAGCTACAGAGCCAAATAACCGAGCAGGAAGTTGCTATAACCATACAGCAGATAAATATCTAGCTTTAATTTACAGGTAACAATTAGAAAGGACCGTAACAAATATAGTAGTTGATTTGGGTCATCAATAGGCATTTCCCTTATCGAAAAAGTGCTCGTTCAATATTCGTAAGACGTAATTTGCTACTTCATTCCACAGTATATTTTTGATACGGGCTAATAACTCTGGCTCTTTCTGGGCACCCACCTTCGCTCCCTCTAATCATAGTCCGCCGCATTTAGTTATATTTCAAATCAATTTAGTTAGATATTATCTTCGGAATACCATTCTTACTATATTTAGCACATAGGATAGTGTTTAAATAGATCATCGCTCACTTCCATATCGGTTAAGAGCAGCCGTAGTTATATCTTTATAAAACTACATTTCATCATCGACAGGCCGTAAGTCTCGCTTATAGGCTATACAAGACTCATTATTGTAGCTCCTCACCATACCCTTCCCATTGCGTTTTATTATCTCGCTATTTACATTCCCATTAAACCCAGGCATACGGGTCCTGTGTACGTCACTCGAACAAGACTTACACCTTTACGCGGTATTCGGGATAAGTAGCCTCCATAGCGAAACCAAGCAAGTCTCCCTAATATCATAGTACCGTTATCTTTACAACACTCATTAGCAAAGCTTTTCTACATTTTAGGTCTCGCACATCATCCAGCTTGAAACCCTGAGCACTTCCCTATAATATAGATCTTTTTTTTCTGATCGGGCATAATTGGGTAGAGACCACCTCCCCAGTCACACACACTTATAGATTAAATATACAGTAAGTCTGTCAACGAAGTTTGACCTACTAAAGAAATTCAAATTGATAGTAGGGACAAGGGACTTCAAGCTCTTCCGCAGTAATACCAAACAAATTAGCACCTAATCTCGGCCGATTTAGCGGCTAGGCCTCCAAAATCACGCCATAGCCCTTAATAATTTACGGTAATTACAACAGAAATCCAACTCAACAGGACCATATTATCCAGAAGTTCGTCAATTTCTCAACTTGACGGCTTATCAGTATCAGTCAAGGCTTGTAGGCTCTTTCAGTATCTCTAAGGCTCCAAAGTTAAAACCCCATACTGAACAAACAACGGCCAGAAGGCCCCCGGGAGAAAGATCATACGCAACCAAATTATAGGTCAGAGACTTAATATCTATCCTCGGGGTACCATCAAGGTCGTCTGTTACAGATTTTACTACGAGTAATTTAGCCGTATAAATCAATTTCGCCGGACCATCACCAAATATCTTAGAAGTATCAGATACAGATGCAGCATATTAAGACTTTGCTATCGTTTATACAAATATCAAAGACTTAGGAGATTAATAGACGAATCTAGTTCCCGCTTTCCAGCATATTGTCTAGGAGAGCCCGGGCCAAAGACAATTAACGTAGTTCCCAGCCGTTCCGTACACCCTCTCCAAATTCGCGTGTCCATATCACAGCGCGAGTCACATACGGTGACTCAAGACGATTCACGATCGAATCGACCCCGCGTCGCCTTAGGGTAATAACCCTCGAGACATCATGTGGGGTTATAGGGACTCAGTACACGGGAACCCCATGTATATATTGTGGGAACTAGTGGAGTCTACCCGGACTCCAAGATTCAGTCTTTGAAATCCGACCCCATAGACTTAGACTCTCTGCCTAGCCAACAGGTTCTCTGTCCTACAATACAGACCCCTTAACAGTCCATATCTACATATCAACTTCAACTACCTACCATGCCACCAAAACGCTCTGATTCCTGGTTAAAATCGGCCGATCAGGAGGGCAAGATCTCATTAGCACTTAACGATATCAAAAACGGCCGAATTCAATCTATACGCGCAGCCGCGAGGCTATATAATCTCCCTTATATAACCTTAGCCGATCGCGCGAAAGGCGTGCTTACACGCGTCGATAGACGCCTAACTAGCCATAAATTAACTCAACTAGAGGAGGATTCGCTAGTAGAATAGATCATCTCTCTAGATAAACGTAGACTAGCGCCTAGGCTAGCTAATATACAAGAGATAGCTAATATTCTACTAGCCGCCCGCGGTAGCCAGCCTCGACCTACTGTTAGTAAGAATTAGCTATCAACCTTTATTTATCGACGCGAAGAGATTCGATCGCGTTTCTCTAGGTAATAAGACTACTAAGGCACCCTAAACGAAGATCCAAATCGCTACGAGTATAGTTTACGACCGTATAACGCGTGATCGATAAGAACGGTATTTAACTGCGGGATATCTATAACTTCGATAAGACAGGGTTTATAACAGGCCTTATATTAACACAAAAGATTATTACGCGAGCTAAATACTACAGTCGGCGATCGATATTATAGCTAGGAAATCGCGAATAGATTACTACTATCGAAGTAATTTACGCCGATAGCTATTCGCTACCGCTATATATAATTTTTAAAGGCAAAGTTATAATCGCTAGTTAGTTTAATAATCTACCACAAGATTAGTGATTTAAGGTCTCGAATAATAGCTAGACTACCGATAAGATTAGCCTACGTTAGCTATAAAAGCTATTTATCCTCTTAATATATTCGCGTGTATAAGGTCGATTTCGACTACTAGTTCTTAATAGCTACGGTAGCTATCTTACGCCTTAATTCGATCGAACTTACGCCAAAAACGATATTATATTACTCTATATACCTACGTATTTATCGTATCTACTATAACTACTAGATATTAGCTATTTTATAGTATTAAAATACTCGTACGGTCGCTTTATAAGTAATCTTACGCGTAGGGGCTATAACTATATCGATAAGTTTGATTTCCTCGATAACTACTAATACGCGCGGCTCGAGGCTTTTTAACTAATAATTATCTAAACTAGCTTCGTAGCTAGTAGGCTAGTACTAATTAATACTAAAAGAGTACTTTAGAAGCTTAATATCTCTCTACGAACGCCTATACTACTAATTAGCCGACTAAGCAGTAGATCTAGCTAATTTACCTCGAAAATACCTAGAACGGTAATTTAGCTATAAAAGTAAGTATCGATACTTAAAGATCTACTAAAATAGCGGTCGAATAGCCCTACAACCCCATCGAAAACGATACTAGATCAGATTATTAAGGGCTACTATATCGCGTTATACTATACAGCGCTATTAGCGCAAGAAAACGCTAATCTACGCGCCGTAAATAAGAAGGTTATTAAGACACACAAACGATTAACTAGGCAGATACCCTACAATCAAGGTCTAACCGTTCAAGAGGGCCTATAACTAGCTCAGTAGGCAAATCAGCCAGTTAAGGTAGCTAAGGTAGTATCGTATACGCAGGGCGAAACGCCTAATCAGCCAGATCAGCCAACCACCAGGGCTCCGCCTAGGTATAGTAGGTATAGGGAGATTAGCCACAGGATTAATATATATAAAAATCGCAAGATCTAGTTAAATCAAAGGGTGTTAGTTAAGATGATTGATTTTGAAATTTCGTAATAGAAGTTAGTATACGGAACGGCCGGGAACTACGTTAGTCTATATATCAATTACATCATCACCGGTAACCAAAAGAATGATATACCTCCCCGGGCCCAATTCTTTAGCTATCTCCATCACCTTAATTACTGCATAACTGCAATTTAAGCCGGCTTTAACGTTCTCATAACCAGATAAGATACCTAATCCTCTGCGCGCATCTTCGTTTATTACGGTGTATATCTCGACTCGACCACTGATTTTCCAGTAGGCGACTTCTGGACCGACACAGAAATATTTAGATCGGGGGAAATACAATAAGAGTCGAGAATTTAGCCTTCGTCATTCTGTAGCGCTAGCGTTTTTGTACCACGAAGGATACCTACTTAGCCGTTAGTTAGTAATAATACTCCCGTATTTTCGACCCCGACCAGTCTTACTCCTGCGCTATCGATAAACGGTCGAAAGAGGCCGACAACACCAGTACCAGTACTAATCGCGGCCACCAGTACATCTAGCTGATTTTTTGACTTAGCTTAGAATTATTTCGTAACTTCTGCACCAAGACGCTATTAGAAAGTCGCCGTCATTCCAGGAATAGGATAGGGGCCTAAAGACCCCCCCCCCCTCTATCAAGTAGTACGCCGTATTATAGTACAGAGCCGTATACCGAAAAGGCCTAGCGATTACAGTGCGTAGCGTAGCAGCACTATATAGATATCGCGCCCTTAGGACTATAGCGCCGAGCTTTTCTATTTTATAAACGCCATTCTTCTGTTTTTCAGCGTCATCGGTACCCATAATCACAACGCACTTCAAATTAAGATACGGGCACATCACCGCGGTGAATTTCCCATATTTAGTCGAGGCACAGTCCGTCACGACTTCCTTACAGCCCATTCTCGTGGCGAGAGAGAGCTGCCCGATAATATTCCGGGCTTTATAGGAATCAAAATACTCCAGGTCTTCACGCTTCATCCACAGTATAGCCCTACCTATGTGATCCGTAAGTTTTTTAGCTTAATATACCGGGGAACTATAGGGAGAGATTAATCGTAACAGTTCGTTAATTTATTTCCAGAACACATTATCACTAATTACGCTCTCAAAAGCTATCGTGATCTTTTCCAAGAACCCAAAAATCAGTTCTAGTACAAAGCGACCGCCTAATAGAGGACTACCCAAAGATACATAATACATCAGGAGCACAGGTAACATATTTAGGTAAGGCTTCGTGAATTTAGTCCCGCATTTTTTATATCGCACGCTAGAGATAATCTTGCGTTACTACTTGTGAAACTGTCGTTCATGTTATATTTACTAACTTACACTATCTTAGTAAGGATAGCAGGACCATCGACAACCCGAAAAGGCATCTTTAACCGCGAAGCGCATATTATACCTATTCGAATATAGTAAGGGCTAGAGAGTGCCGTATATAGTTAAGAATCTTTCTATTTCATATAGCCTATAGAACCAAAACTTTCAAATATCATAATTTTAACGTTAGCGAGTAGACAGTTCGGAGAGCACAATTCTCTTTACCGCTATAACATACTTCTCATAGGTTAGGTCATATTCGCGGGCGGTGTATACTTCGCGAGGATCCGAGCAAACGTATTTCTAGGGCTGTTATCTTTTTAAGGGCTATAGTACAAAGCACAGGTATTACATCTGAATATCCTTAGTCCTCTCTTAGTTATTATTATACACAGTGATTCAAACACCAACCTATAACATCTATATCCCTACTCTTCACTAGACGAAGCGCGAATCGACTCTTACGTATCTAGTTCGAAGGGAGCGCCATATATCAAAAAATACGCTGGTTCTCTTACATAACACAAGAGCCTCTCAGCCGCTTTACGGGCCAACGAGATATCCTATAGGCCTAAGCGGTCCTTAGTAAGCCGATACTACAATTATAGGTATCGTCTGCGGTAGCCGCTTCTTAAATTCCAGAAGAGAAGACACAGTATATATTAGGAGGTCTATATCGCAGGACAGAGAACCTATTAGCTAGGCAGAGAGTCCAAGTCTATAGTTATAATTTTCAAAGACTAAATCTTAGGATATAGTAGACTTCACCAGTTCACACAATATATATATAGGGGTTCCGTATACCGAGTCCCCACAGCCCCACACAGAGCCTTTAGGGTTATTACCCTAAGGCGACGCGGGGTCGATTCGATCGTAAATCGTCCTAAGTCACCACGCATAACTACGCTATAATAACTATTACCCCCTTCTATACTAGTCGTCCCGACTAGGGATATTCTTATCTAGGGGATACTATAGTCCGGACTTTATCGTAGTACTAAGGGAAGGAATCGTAGGTATATTATATACAGAACGCTATATTCTTAAATTTAGGAGATATAGATATAAATAAAGGATTACTATATTATATAGCTATAACCTTCTACTACTATCGGCGATACTATTTAAAAGAAATCGCGGTAGGACGCTTAATCCCTATTTACCTAATTAACGTCGGTCGGGGAGCTAGGAATCTATCCGCGATAGGGTATTTCATTAACGATTTATCCCCGAAGATTTATAGAATCGATTTTCCCTATAGATAAGGAGATTTTTAATTTTAATCTACTTCCCTTATTTAAGCTTAGTTCTAGAATACCCTATCGTTATCGGAATTATCGTCGCTACAAGGCTACTAGCGGAATAGACTATATATCTCCTATACTAAACTTCGTAATCGTAAGCCCCGATTTTCTCTAGTATCTAAAGTATTTCGGTAGGGCTAAGGTAGAGTATAACTATCTAGTTATAATAGTCTCTTTCGCTATAGAGTATAAGTTTAATCGCTTAGGATCGGTACTCTATAATAGCTATAAGAATAACTATAATATATACGAGACTATAAGTTTTCTACTCTTTTCCGAAATACTTCCGAATTACTAATAGGTTATAAGACTCCTATATTAATAATCTAGGATATATAGGTATTTTATTTTCTTTTAAAGATTTACTAGGTAATCTTTAATAGTACCTAGGAGATTACTATAGCGCCTAGGCTATCGTATATTCCGGTTTAGCCGGTCGGTATTTATTCCGATCTATTCTAGATAAGTAAGAACCTTACTATAACTTTCTTAAGGATCGTATAGGCCTATAAGAAAGAGTATATATTTAAAGATCCGAAGTATATATAAAAGATATAGATCGCCTATAATTTCTTAATAATTCGTTCTAATAAATTCTCTTTATAGAGATACTATTATTTCTATTTAGAAAAGATAGCGTTACGTCGCTAGAACCTAATTATAGCTTTCGGTCCTCTCTTAATATATATAGACTAGTATCTCGGTTTTAAAGAAGAGGATACTAGATTTATATTATAGTAGACTAGACTAGTTAACTTTACCGAGTATTTAGAGACTATAATAACTACGAATAGTATACTTAGGATAGAAGTAACCGCGATAAAGAATATAGTATTAGAGTTTATAGAGTATTTCTAAGGTAAATTATAGTAGGTTCGGTCTAGTTTTATCTTATATATTTCTATATATTTTTAAACTTCGCGATAGATTATTTTATATTTTATATATTCTTTTTAGGTACCTATTTATTATATTTAGAGGGCTAGTCCTTCTATTTAACTAGGAAATAAAGTTATCTGTTAATCTTCGCCTTTCCTTTAACTTCTTTAACTTTATATTCTTAGTTATCTTCGATAAGATTAGGAAGTAGGAGTATTTTAGGAGCGCTTCGCGATAGATTATTATACTATTTTTCTAGAAGAGAGATATAGAAAACGTTATAGAGATATATATACTTTTAGGATAGTACTAGTCTATACGCCTAAGTTCCGATTACTTATAGGATTCGGAATAGGCTAATTCTTCTAGGAGTAAGCTTCCTAGACTCTTTAATTTATAAGTTTTACGTAGAAAATATTATAAGATTATTATACTTAAATATAATAGAGGTTCTTTTTATATTATAGTATTTTATTATTAATTCGTTAGTCTTTCGCTAGTAAGTCGTTAACTTCTTATATAAACTTTATAGTTTCTCGATCCTAGCTTATACTCCTAGTAGTCTTTCTTTTTCTATAGTAGCCTTATTATATATATAGAAGGATATATTATATCCGAATAGTACTTCGTAAGGACTAAATTTTATTATATTATTTTAGTATAGATTATAATAGAATTCTACTATTTATAGTAAATTTAGCTATATAGTTTATTCTTTCCCTATAAAGTATCTTAGGTAATATTCGAGGGTTTAGTTTATTCGTTCCGTTTAGCTATCGGTTTATAGATAAAATATAGTTAAAAACCTAAGCTTTATTTTTAAGATATTAAATAGCGAGAGCTAGAATTTACTAGTAAATACTAGACCCTAGTTAGATATAATTCCTTCTTATAGTCCGTAGACTAATTCGATCTTATTATAATATAGCTTAGCTAGTTATACGGTATTAATTATTATATATACTAGGAAAAATTTCACGAATTTAGTAAATCTATCTACGATAACTAGGATCGAGTCGACCTTATTTCCCTTATAAATCGTAGGTAGAAGGCCTATAATAAAGTCTATCGAGGTTTCTTACTATAGTCAGGTTAGAATTAGAAGAGGCTTTAATAAGCCGTACTTCTTATACCTCGGTAGTATAGCTCTTTAGTATATAGGATAGAACTTTACGTATTCGTCTACTCGTTCGTAGAGATTTTTCTAGTAGAATTTTCGACTAATCGATTTAATCGTTCGTAACTAGCTAAAATAGCCCCCTATTACTAGATTATTATAATATAGCTTTATTAGCTCTTACTTTAGTTTCTTATTAGTTAGAATATATAGTTATCCTTTAAACTATACTAATTTATTAGGATCGACTAACTAGTACCCTAATATCGGGATATTCTAGTTAATTAATAAACGAATCTTCCCTATATTAGGGTCGTCTCGCTAGGCCTTAAGGATTATACTTTATAGGTTACTAGTTATATTCGAGATATAGATATATTACCTAAGATAATAAGCTACTACTTTTTTATAGTAGGAGTAATAGATACGATCTAGCTCTTATCTCTAGGTATCTAAGATACTATCTAGCTCTTAAATCCCTAAATCCGGTAATAATTCCTTTTTAAATTAATATAGATCGGTTAGTACTAACTATACTACTATCTAGCTCTATTCTAGTATCTCTTCGGTTACTATTTAGGCCTATAATAGATTTAATAGAGTAGTATTTAAGATATCCCTCGAAGCTAGCTCTATTATCCTTAAGGATATATCCGCTAGGTTTTTCTTCCTTATATAGTATAAAATTATAAAATTAAATATAGAGAGGATTATATACTATTATACTTAATATCCTTATAATTATAGGTTTTATATAAAGGATCTTAAGTTATTATAGTCCGAAAAGACTTCGATTCGGTACTAAGACCCTTTAAGATAATACCGCTAAATCTTAAAACTATATATAATCGTATATAGCTCTTAATCTCTAGTAGTATAGTAGGATTCGGTATT